AAGGACTCTCGGATGATGACAGCAACCCCTCCTCCCCTGCCCTGGCATCTCGGCTGGTGCCACACCATGAATGCAGCAGGGCACATTTCCGAGAGGGCCCCCCCCCTCGTGCCCCAGCCAGGTCTCTGTAATACATGCCAAGTCCACCCCTCCTCAGTGAGGAGGACCTCACTGGGGGGGGCTTGTTTTTAACCAACCTGGCATTAAACAGCAACAGCCAGAGGCAAGGGCCCCTATGAACCTGCTGACCAGGGCCTGGGAGCGAGCATGCCAGCCACTCACCTCAAAAGCCAACCACAAAACGGAAGCTCCCTTGGTCTACTCACAAGAAGCGGCTATCCAGAGGCACGCGGATAAATCTCAACAATCAAACAAATCTTCAATCCGGCATGAGCCTCTGAAATCCTGAAGTCTCCCCCCACCCAACTCCTTCCAAAACTTTTCCTGTGTTACTAATTTTCAATGCAACTAAAGAGGAGGAGAATTTAATACATGCCTGGAAAGTAACCACACCATTTATATTTAATTTTCTTTAAATCAAATTTTGACCTTTTCTTCGCCCTCGTCATACCATAGAAAGGCCTAATGCTTGAAAAAGGTTTTTGCACATGCTTTGAGGGCTTCTTGTCTTTCTGGTTCCTTTTGTGAAAGAGGAATTCTTCACCCTGAAGCTCATCCACAAATAAGTGATTGATACATAGGTGACAATTGTCTCACATAATGAGACGCCTTCGACCGAAAACAGTTCCATGGTTCTGCGTTCATCTTGGTCACCTCCACTCTCAGTTCTGCACCGTGGATGCGAGTCTGATTATTTTTCCCAGAGATAGTTCCCCTTCTCATTTTTGTGTGTTTGGTATATTATGTTATTTTGGTCCCCATTGATTCCCAAATGTCAATAAATTGCTTGTTTACAATGTCAGCACACTGGAGTCACTTTCATTCTCATTTTCCTGAGTATCCCTAACAATACTCAGACAAAAAGAAAGCGACCTAAGAAGAAAGATGAAAGAAAAAAGAAG